TGTGTGTGTGTGTGTGTGTGTGTGTGTGTGTGTGTGTGTGTGTGTGTATGTCCTACCTGGTTCCTTAAGTTAATTTTTGTTGAAAGCCTGAACTTGTGCTGTTGTCCAAATATGCCACCAGAGGGCACAGGTTCAGAAATTTTCTTTTTTTACTTTCTTAGTTTCTTCTGCAAGAGTTTACTGGAGCTTACAGAATCTGAGAGAAGAGATAATATGTTGTTTCATTGTCACAGTTGAGTTTGAACTGAACTGGAAGCCAAGAGATTCGAGCTTGACATGACCTTTCCGTGTGACACATGCAGCAGTGACCATCCTGTATGTGAGATATCTCCTCACCTAGTGAGTTTAGGCAGTGGTGCCATGAGATCACAAAGATCACTTTGATGTAGGATGATTATACTTTATTAACCATTGAAAGCCTAGTCCTGAATATGGTGTTTTGTGTACAATAGGGCTTTATTGTATTTGAATTGATTGAAAATATGGCATAGTATAGCCACCCTCACTGTACTTACTTCCTTTTCAACACCCCCTCTCTACTCCCTTGATCAACACATTGATCCTTAATGTAGTTCTTAAAGTAGCTGTGTATGTAATCATGTACTTGATGTTATGTTAGGTCTATGGTCAATTAGTAGTATCACTATACCTAGAAAGAAACAGAGCCAAGGGTAAACTGGAGTTTCTTGATGAAATATTATTTTTGTTTCTATTGCTTCTTTGTTTTCATGTTCCTAGTTAATCTCAGTTAGAGGATGATTGATTTTATTCCACATTCTTCGCCCCATCTGTACCAGGAGTCCCTGGGTTAAGAGTGGGTGTACTGGGCTTTAGTGATCAGAAGACATGACTAGTTTCCCATTGAGCATTAAAAAAATCTAGAATTTGACAGCATTTTCTCTATGTACAAACCATCGTATAGCACCAATTAGAAAGAGTCACCAAGTTCTTGAGTATATACCTGCTTCTCGAATGTCATCCTGTTCTGGTATTGACAGGAAGAACTGTTTTAAATGAAGGATATATGTAGAAGCCAAAATTATCTAAAGTTTTACCCAGAGTACTAACCTTATTTTTTAAGTTTTTTTTTTTTCCACGTGAACTTGGTTTTGTGCATCAGCTTTGTAAATGTCATCCTAGGGTTCATGTCATGGTTAATTTGTAACTAAGAATGCTCTAGTTTTGCAGTCGAGGGCATTCTATAAAGATGTAAAGGTGTTGCTATCTGAGAGATGCAAGTGGCTTCTTGGGCGTGTGCTGTAAGTAGTTTTCTCCTTGGGAACACTGAACATTGTTAATAAGCCAGAGGTCCGATAACTGTGAGTTTGAAGTCCATATGTTCAGAAGGCAAGGTCTAAAAGAGACCATCTGATATCTGACTTTCTAACCAGCCTTAATGACTTTGATAGGAAGAGTACTCTGGTGATAATATAGAGATTTGATCTAGAAGGGAACAAAGGAAGGCTGGAGGAGATAAAAGTCCCTCTGTCTTGCTAGGAGCTGACAAATTCCTTAAGCCCTTAAACTTAGGCAATGGCAAAAGGCAGTACAGATGTAGTGGAAAGAAGTTTGATAAGTATTCAGGCAGTATTCATTGGTCATCATGACCATTAGAAGTGGAGAATAAAAATGAGGCAAGCCCATTTGATATAGGTCTGTCTATAAACTGTGGTACAATATAGTGAGATATGGAAAGAAAATGAAGGAGTGGGTTTGGGAAGTTGAAAGAGAAGGTGTTTCCATTTGGAAAGTTAACTTTTCCAATGAAGACTGTAAGTGAACAAGCAGGGTATATATGTCCAATAACAGCTGGATAGATGAGCAAGGATACAGTCAGACAGGGTGAATTAGGAGGAGTTCTGTAACATAGCAGTTTTTAGTATCTCTAGTGAGGACACTCATTAAGAAAATGTAAGTCTTAGAAAAGGGGCCTGTACTGGTTCCAGGGATCTCTTCTTTCTAGCCACTGTCGTATGAATATTTGTGACTCTATAGCTGACTCCCTGTTTCATAGTACCATTTCATAGTACTATTTTATGGTACTATTGTACTGGGCTTAGAAGACTTTAGGACCTCCTCTCTAATAATTACAAAATGACATGCATACTTGTAAGGATAACATTGTAAAGATCTGTTTGAAGAGAGAAATGATTCTCTAGGTGGCACTGAAAGAAAGAGGTCTCTAAAATAAGAATGTTATAACTTTTTTTTCCTCTTGTTTGAAAATCCTCTTCTAGCTCTCACACATTTTACAGGTACATCAATTCCAGCCTGTTATGTGGTGTATCACTTGATAAACTATTATCCTTTCATCCCAACTAGTCATTTCTTGTAGGAGTAGCTATACCCAAACCGAAATTCTACTGTGCACGTAACATAAACAGAGGGAGTGCTTGCTCTGTCTAATGATTCTTCACACTCATAAAACTGCATTTAGTTCAAATAACAAGTGATTCAATTTCTAGGAATTTAAATTAGTATCAGTATTTTTACATGCTGTTATTGTATGTTAATGAATTCATGTCATTTTATTTCTGTTGCCCAGGCAAGCCATTTCTCCTACTCTCTTTTCCTAGGAGACGTGTCACTGTCCTTTAGCAAAAAGAGAGACTACCACCCATATTTCTTGCCAAACACTCCATCAAATACTTTCTTTGGTTTTATAAAACAAGGTTGGTGACTTTTATGTTTCTCTGAATCAGGGTGTGTTTCATATATCTAAGCTTACCCAACGGTTATCTCACTTCATGTTTCATCTTCATTCCAGAATGTCAGTGTTCCTCTATCTGTTTTTCTTGGTATCTGGCCTTCAGGCTACAATCCATTGTGTGCTACATAACAGCTCTGAATACAAAGTAAAGACCTGCCAATTGCCCCAACCAAATGCCGCTCTCTATAAGATGCCATTTATCAACGCTGACTTTGCATTCAGTTTATATCGGAGGCTCTCTGTGGAGAACCCACATTGGAACGTCTTCTCCCCTGTGAGCATATCTTCTGTGTTAGCCATGCTTTCTTTTGGATCTGGCTCTAGCACCCAAACTCAGATTCTGGAGGTTATGGGATTTAACCTCACAGATACTCCTGTGACAGAATTACAGCAGGGCTTCCAGCATTTAATTTGTTCATTAAATTTCCCAAAGAGTGAACTAGAATTGCAGATGGGAAATGCAGTTTTCATGGGGCAGCAGCTGAAACCACTGGCAATGTTTTTGGATGATGTCAAGACCGTCTATGAAACAGAAGTCTTTTCTGCTGATTTCTCCAATGTTTCTGCAGCTCAGCAGGAAATCAATAGTTGTGTAGAGAAGCAAACCAAAGGGAAAATTGTAGGCTTAATTCAAGACCTCAAGCTGAATGCTATTATGATTCTGGTGAACTACATTCACTTCAAAGGTAAGGCATCAAGATTAACTTCCAGTCTAGTATTCAGATAGAGAACTGGGGAGAGTTTATGGTCTCTTTATCATTGGGATCAGTAGCTGTCCCTCATATCACAGTGATTTTTCACTATTGTCTCTATCTGTGTATTGTGTTGAGTCATTTTAAGATGACATACTGCTCAGTGTATGTTTCTAGGAAATTTCTAAGGAGACAATACTTTTAGAAGTGTGGTTGACACTGTTATTAATGTTCTGATCATATCAGGCTAAATAATTGCAGTTTCTAATATACTTAATGAGGTGTGAAATCCTTGTGCTTGTCAAGTCGACCGAATTTGTATCTAAGCATAATATAGCTCTTACTTCTTGTGCACATTTGGGTATAATGGAAAAACCTTTTATTTTATGTTAATTACCTACTATGTGCAAAAGATTATGCTACAAAATATATACCATTAATAATTTTCAGTGAGGGGGCACAGAGAGTTAAGATGGTGGAGACCAGACCTGAGGAAAGGAAGGGTGAGAGGACTGAAGACCTGTAGAGAAAAGAGAAACTGAGGATGGGGACATCTCTGTGACAAGTTGGAGACCTAAGTCAGAGTAGGCTCTTGGGATGATACGAGGGTGATTCAAGCAGAGATCCTAGTAGCAGAAAACATAGAGACTGAAGAGGACATACTCTAAGTATACTAGTCTTCTAGTAAGTGGCGGTGAACACCAATCTACCGACAAATCTTTGACCCCAAATTTATCCTGCCTATGAGATGTGCAGGTATAAAGACAGAGCAGATAGAGCAGGGATTGAAGGATTGCTCAACCAATGCCTGGCCCAACCAAAGACCTACGCTATCCAAGGGTGCCAACCACAGACACTATGAATGTTACTCTGCTAAACCTGCAGACAGGAGACTAACAGAGTTATCCTCTGAGAGGCTCTACCCAGCAGCACCTCAAAACCAATGCTATGACTCACAACCAAACATTGGTAGA